ATATATTTTTCTTTTTTGAAAAAACTTCGCAAACTTTATTTTTCTTCTTCTCTATTGTTTTCAAAAGCTGCTACATTATTATTTTATAAAATTCTTTTGTTTTTATACGATACGCAGAATGTTCACGCAGAATATTGGAGTTTTTCATGCTTCAAATCACATTTTTATCTTTTTATAAATTTTCTAAAACGATGCAATTTCTCTCTCTCTCTCTCTCTTATTGGCTGCAAGACTTTAGCTAAGTGGCGCGTCAGTTGTGCTCGCCGCGAATATTTCAATGTTATCTAACAAGAAGAACAAACTATTATTAAAGACAACATGACGCTTGCAAACTCACAAGAAAATGTCTAAGCGTAAAGGTGGCTTACAACTTTGAGCTTTGAGTTGCGGTGCTTTCAAGGCATGTGTAACCATCGTAATATAAGGGTCGTCCTTATATAATATTGCAAGAGATCTTCACACGTATGGTTTGTTTTACACGATGCACAAACAGTAACCCATTTCCAGATAATTATATACCTTTAATTTGAAGTCGATTTCCACCAATATATAACATGTGAGACACTGATAATTACTTGTCACATTTCTAATCATTTTTATATTTAATATCTGGGCAATATTAATGTTCAAAATCAATTACCAGCAAAGTAACCTAAATTATTGATTCAAATCGTTCCAATTCTTTAAAATTAAATTTAAAAAAGTTTTGTTATTTATTTATGCTCTTAAAATTCGATAAAATGTTTTAATTTTTAAATTTTTGATAAAGGTAACTGTGTCATGATACATTAACAAAGTACTGCATTTTTTAGAGTGTCTAGTATATTCCCCTGTGACATTCGCGACTGTTTTGACACGGTCTACATAACTTTCTTGCATTTTTCCGGCATGAACTATGACGGAAGATCCGTATTCCAGAGCAAATGGCGATAGCAGTCATCTCGACTCGACAGCCATTCAAACGAGAGACGCTTCCGTGAAAAGTCGCTCGCAAAATTCTTCGTGCCACTTTCTCGTTGGAGGCTCGTATTCGTAGCACGTCTCTCCAAAGTACGCATTTTCAAAGATATCGCTAAAAATTGCACGCTTGACAAAGTTTAGAAACAAGAATCATGTATGATAAAATTTTCGAATGTGTGTCTTATAGCGTGTCTCCCAAAATTACATGAATTAAATTCGTCCGAAATCACATCTTTTTAGCGTGGTGTGAGAGATTTGGCTAAATGACAAATATAGTACAGTAAGTTATCAGTACACCAGTATATATGTTACGTAGTATTTTCTACAAATTTCGTCGTAAACATATGAGAGTGCGCACATGCGAAACGTATGACGTGGTTATATTTTTGCTTGAAAACGGTGGATGCAGGGATATATATAATGGATTCGTGTTTCCTTCTCGCGCTGGTTGCCTCTCGAAAACAAGATCAATAAACCGTTAAAGATAGAATGAACGATTGAGTTTGTGCTTTCCTGTCGAATCACACCCACGGCTTTTCAGAGAAACGCCGAATATATCGAATAAAGGGGTTGTATTTTTCCCCATTTCGAGCAGAACAATCGGAATTGATGCAACGTAAACGGATGCTGCAACTGAATATTCTATACAAATGGATATCCGTATATAAATATTCTTGATACGATCACAGAGAATAAAATGATTTATTCGACAAATAAATTGGAAAGCCATTGGAAAAGCCATAGAATTTGAAATATATGGTCCGTGTTATACGTGTAAGATTGTTTCGATTATTTCGTTGATAATTAGTAGCTCGTAAAACCTGGCTTTACGCAGAAATTTTCTGAAAATTTTTAGCATGCCCACAATAGCCACGTTCGACAAATTGGTATTTTCTCTCAGTCAACGGGAGACGTTGAAGAGATTAATGAGAGGCAGCAAATACGCTGTGTCGTATGCGCAAACATTCCTATTACCTTTTTCCCCCGGTACTTCATGGAACGTAATCGACTGCCGCTCGTTTCTTCATAATGACGAATGCTAATTGCATGCGCGGTCGATAGTTCTTCAACTGTTCGCAAGCACGACTAATAGCCATGTTCTTTTAGCAAAAAAAAAATAGAAAAAAGAAGGAGAGAGAGAGAGAGAGAAAGAGAAAAACAAAAAAAGGGGAGAAACGACTCGAGTGCGAGCTCGGTCCAATAGAGGAACAAGGAAGGCGACTAACGGGGAATGGGAAAGAAAAAACATTTTACAATGCTAGTTCGCATCGTAACGAGTAACCTTTGTGGCAAGTCGCGACGTGCCGGGGACGTTAACGGGGAAAAAGCACGTGGGAAAAGCTTTTATGCAACGCTACATCGATAACTCTGCGCGAAGAAGACTGCTTCGGGAAGAACGTCAGCTGCGAGTGTCGTTCTCTGGCGGCATAAAGTCTTCTCAAAAATATCCATTTGCCGGAGGGAGAAAATGCGTAAGATTTTACGCATACAGATATATAAAGAAATAGAGAAATGTCCAAAAAAAAAGAGAATATTTTCAAAGAATATTCACACGAATATTTAATAATATCCATCGATATTTAGAAGATAATTAATAACATTTAAAAAATATTTAAGAATATATATATAGCATAGTCACAAATGGCCAAAGAATATCGAAAAAATATTTAGGGAGACATCTAATAATATCAATGGACTGTCCACAGATTATCCTAGATGTTCAACAATATGCAAGTAATGTCGAAGAAGAGACATGTGCAAGAATACATGCACAAGAATATTTTAAAATATCTAAAATATATATCCAATGTATTTAAATATTCAATACCAAATGTGGTATGGAAGACGTTTATCTTCTCGGTGTTGCGTGTTACATATTGACAGCGTGGAAAAGGATCTTTCCTTAGGCGAACGAGAACTGTGGGAGTCGCGGTAACGGAAAGTCGACCTCGAAGAGAAGCCGGGGTGGAAATGAAAAATCGCCGGCGCCGTCGAGCCAAAAGTAACCAACCACCTACTAGCTCTCGCCTACAGATAAGAGAAAATAACGAGGCCGACAGACACGCGGAAGAGAACTAATTCGCCGCATATTTCACGCACGTCCGCCCCGTGGTCGCTTCCGAGAATAAAAGGATTAATCGTGACTCTCTTTCTTTCTTTCTCCGAGACATATTTATTTGCGTTTCATATATTTCTGGACATATTAGATACAAAAATGGGAAGTAATTGACCTAAATATTTGCCATTTTTTTGCAATTCTCGAAAACATTATATTTGAAATTAAATCAAAATTAAAAACTATAAAAAAACAATGAAAAAAAAATTTCTCGATGATACTTTTCATAAAAATATTTTAAAAAATATTGGGGAAAATATCAAATGGAAAAGGACAATTATATGAGCTGCTCATAAAAAAATTATGCATCCGTTAAATTAATCATATAAGATTAATATAGTAGATCTAGTCAGAAAATATCAATTATTTAGAAAAATGAGAACAAATGTTAATATTTAACGCACTCACCTTTTCACCGCTGTCGCTAGGCAGATAAAACGTAAGAACCGTAAGGAAAGATATTCCCATACAGGGAATGATAATGTTCACTGTGTAAAAGAGGGTCTTCCTCCTCATCGTAATGTTGAACGTGATGTCCAAGTAGGGCTCGTCGCAGCAGGTGTAAAACTTCTCGTTCCTACGAAGAGAAAAGAATCGCGTTTAATCGCCAGATTGATGAGCGAGTGCAAAAAAGTGGAGGGAGTTATGGCAATATAAAGTAAAAAGAAAAATAAAAAAAAAATCATCCGCAGAACATAAAATTTCCGCCATTGGGCGGCGAAGTGTTTGTACCCAACAATAAGTACGTTTTAAGTAAGTGAGGTTGCCTATGTGAGCGAGACTTATGAGGAAAGTTTCGCAGGGTCGTATAACTTTGCCGAGAAGAGATCCCTATAAGTCGGTAACTTGGCTCGATTCTCTCCCCCCCTCTTCCTCTCGCTCTTTTCCTAACCCCCTTTTCCTCTCGCTCTTTTCCTATCCCCCTTTTTACGCCGATAGTCTCAAACCGGAATCGGTAACGGTCTTGTCTCGTGAATAAATTTCAAATATATTTTTATTTTTAAAACATTCAACAAAACTTTCACGAAATTAAAGAAAGATATATAAAAGTTGTGAGTTAAACGATTCCTTGAAGACTGTTTCAAACTTCGTCACTTTTTACATAATAGTCGATTGGAAATATGCTGTTAATAATATTCCTCGCTTTCGAGTGTCAAAATGTCAAAATTGCGATTAAATTTATATAGTCGAACGATCAGAATTTCTCGCGAAGATTCCACACTAGGGAGCATGACACAAATAGGGCCGTTTAAATTGAATAGAGAGTATCGATACTCGGGATAATACCAAAGATAGAATATCGATGCCGAAAGTATTCAAACGGTAAAGTATCGATTTTTCGAAATATCGTGAACATCTCTATGAGAAAGTCGCTTCAAGCTGCTGCGAAAACATCCACTCTGCCGCTACGGCAGCTTCCGGAAGCTGAACCCCGTTCCCGTCTGCATCACGGTACACTGAGTATCGGGGATCGAAACGTGCCCGGAAGGAGCCCACTCGCTTATACCAGATGAGCATATTGAATGCGAAGGAGTGTTTCATAAGAAAAGAGAGAGACGAGCCTCTTTTCTAGAAGCTTTAAGATTCCGATACCTTCCGATGCTTGAAAACCTCAAAGATTAGATCGAGATTTTTATTTGAATAAAATAGATAAATTTATGGCAAGTCTCGCATCATTATTTAAACTTTGATATTTTCAAATGTGACAAATCATATTATTACGCGCGCATCTGTTAAAAAAATATTCTTTTTTCAAATTTGTATATCTTTATGAAATATCGCATATAAACGCAGAGGTATCGGATGTAGTTACCTAAAGAAAAAAAAAAAAAGAGTAAAATGACACACTTACCGCACTGCAGGCACTTCTAGAATATCCCATTCTACCGACATGTAGAATTCGGACAGGTCAACCCCCACGTCAACCACGTTGCTCCCGGATTTTTCATCCATGTGTCTTAGATCGACCTAAGTGACAGAAAAAACGGCTGGCATTAAGCTCGCGTGTGTGGAAAGCTCGACGTCATTGTAACGTTCGAACGCCATGCCCATGTAATTCATCTCTGACATACGAGCGTGCAGTCGCGGAGCACTTACTTATGTAAAAACGTTTAAATAAAAAAATGATAATTTTCGAAATATATATTTTCTGAATTCTTTAAAGAAAAATTTAGCAAATACATCGATATACGTCAGTTATAGCGACGTCGGTATCTACAATTGCACGCTCGCGATTAACTGCTTAATTACGAACAATAATAATTCAGAAATGAACTTTTAGTGCATGTCTTGAGATGCACTTGGTGTTCGCAGAAGCGCAGAAGGAGCACAAGAGATCTAAAACTGTCAAGGAATATCAAAAAACGGAGCGTCGACTGTGGTGGTCCGCAACAACAGGACACTCTAGAGCAGCAACTAGATCAGCAAAATATGTATATATATATATCGCCTTCAAATACATATATATGTATATATATCAATATCTATGTATAGGTGTGCACCACGTTGCAGAGTAAAAAGAGGCACGCACAGTCAAAGAAAAAAATCAGACTAGAGCACTCGATTCGGGTTCACTCCGGGGTGAATCCGGGGCTAACATAAGAGCAGCTATGCGCCTAACGCTAACGAGGTGTATCCGTTCAGCCGCAATTTCTCGTTGGTGTAAACATTTCTTAAAAACGTTGATAGCTATCTGTAGACTGCCGGGAGCTTTGTATGTGCGGTGCTAGTTTGGAAAATGGGTCGATGAAATTCCTGTCTCGACCCAGAGCAGAGATTGGCTCTCGAAACTTTGACAATCTCCCCTCCCCCCTTCCCTCTCCTTCCTCTACTTTGTTACAGTCACTATTGTATTCTGTTTTTGAAAATATCGCGAATTTGTGACGCTATCTTTTTATATACAAGGTTTTTATATATAAGATTTAGTTTCTTCTACTTCTGAGTTCGAAAATTGACGGCTTTTCTGATTTCGCGGAATATAATTGAATTTTTCATTTATAAAAAGATTTTTTTTTTTTTGCAGAAACTGTAACGTATAACAATTGTATTTTTGCTGTACTTTCTTTTACAGTTTAACTTTTATAGATCTATACACACAGTTTACAGTTATAAAGTTTACTATATATTATACTATCATGTCAAACCTAATTCCCGATGCGGAAGTAGTTTGCCTCGCAGGAAATAATTCCGGTATGCTATTAGTTCCCACATTGTCTTCTCTGTGCGAGGCTATTCGAGCGACTTGCAGCAAGATTAAAGCCAGCAGCGGCTTTAATGTAACGTAAGTGTCTAACCATTGGCCCGGGCGATCGCTCGCTGCAGTGGTATTACCGTGAAATACGTCCGACAGACGCATCCCCGGTGTGATTCGAGTAACGGTGCACTTTGCGGACGATACTTTGTCACTGCTGCGGAGCGAGATTAAAGCCGGCAAACAATTTCGACGCAACGGTGGTCGCGATTCCGAAGAACGCTATCGTCCTAAATTGCCTCGAAAAATCTGACGAGCCGCTCGGCTCTTGCGACAATAAATCTTTCGTGCCATACTATTATAAATCACATACAGATATTTTTATACAGAATGTGTGTGTGCACAACAATTGTTAAAAAAATATTTAAGGGAGCCATTTATCTTTCAAAATAAAATTGTTATACGTAGTTAATAATGATGATTGAAAAACGTAATAACTAGCACACATACACACATAGCAAGCCCATTTATTTTTCCTCTCCTGTCCTTTATCGATCTGCGAAATTGCACAGCTACAAAAACTCGAGTAATGTAATTTACTACGACCCACTTTTCTCACTTGAATCTAATAATTGTTCCTTCCGAGAAGAAGTTTGGATCCCGAGATTAAATTCAATCGCCGTAGAATCAGTGAGAGCAAAATATCATACGTTAGATGGTGTACATTTCGCGTGCTACTTGAAAATCGAAAATCAGCAATGTGTCTTAAAAACGATTTCATCTGCTGTGTAGACGTCAAATTCCTTTTCTCAAGATTTTACGCAATTAAATGCTATTAAAAGTATATCAATAAATTTCTAAAACGATCATTTAACTAAATTTCGAGAAACTTCGCGGGTACTTTGCACCTGTTACAAAATAACATTTCAATTAGGTTCGCACGGAGATGCTGCGGATGGAATTAATTAAAGGCGGCGTGTACGGGATACCGCACCCATCCGATCTTGGCGAACTTTGCTAAAGATCCTTTGAGGTGTAGACAGATTGTTACATTAATCTCTCGCGGGGGAACGTTTCCAGACGAAGACGGAATTTAAAAAAATCTACGTTAAAGCACGTCTACAAGTCGAAGCACGTCGCGCGATTTTTTTTCTCTAAAAATTGCGTTATCTTGCACGCCGCGTAATCGTTATGTGTGATTCACCCGTCTCGTATTTTTCTCGCCAATTTACTCTTGCGTTTTGCAGAGAGAATTAATAACATTTGTATGATATCATTTTATTATAATGATTATTTAATTAATATTAAGTCCATTTAAAATCTAGCAGAGTTGTCTCCCATTCGTTTAATCACCGCCATTTCTTTTCATGAAATATATCTTGCGTTAAATACACAAATAAATAAATACAAACAAATTAATTTTAGCGTATTAATTACTTTCTTTTATGATAGGTATATAATTATTAACGCTATAGTAATGAGATTTGAAAGAAAAATGTAACCATCGCATTTTCAAAAAACGTTTCGAAAATTATATTATACGATCTATTTATTGTTTTTAGAACTACATACCACATATCCGAATATTCCAAAAAAGAAATAGTTGATTTCGTGGCATTTTTTCAGATTATGTTCACGTTTGTTTCAAACTAACTGACGTACAAAAGAGAATGAAAATCCGATAGAAGCCCGACGGTTTGTGAACGTTCCCTCGCGAGTCGGAAAAAAGAACAGACGGGAACATAAGTAACAAAGAGACGTGCGTTTTTTAAGCAGTGATAAAAATCGCCGGAAAATTCCTCAAAGCTTGGAAACGAATTGACTGGTACAAATGGAGCGATATAAGATCGGTTGACTATGGAGTTGACGTTTCTTAGCCCTCTCTTTGTACTTACGCGTTGAGATTAGATGTTCAAAGTTTCTATACCCGTTCTGACAATGTATATATTCTCCGCGGATATAAGAAAGCTGAAGTGTTCATAATTCTCGCCGAGAAACTGGCGCGGATGTTAAAGAATACCCATAGGAATAACGATGCGCCGTAGTTGCTTCTTTATTGACTTTGACGGAGAAGGAAATGACACTGTCGCACGAATTCTTATACGGAAGTGGAAGCTAGCTCGATGATCGCATGTCAGAAATTGCTTTACTAAAAGACACAGCGCTATGATATTTTTATGCGTTTCTACTTATCACATCGTCATTATTGTTTTTGTTATACAGGTAAATCGATCGCGAAAACAATTTTAAACTCATCTGTATCTGACAAAGAAAAAAAAAAATTACCGTTCTGTTTTTGTTGTTCTCAAACACGGCAAACCACTGTATTGTTGTTGTAATCCAATTGAAAGAAATGTAGCTGTTGTTCTCGAGTTACCCATTCTGGGAGAGACAGTTATATGTGTAAATAGTTTTTCTTTTTCTAACATATTATTACGGTCTTTGTTTCAAGTGTGGCCGCCAAACTTTGCAATTTTGAATTCATTAATTTGCGAGAATCGATTTCTCGTATAGCGCACGAAGCGAGAACGGGAAAGTTGATCGAAAGATCAGTGTTGATCTTTTAGCGTGATAAGAGCGAGCTTGATGAAGAGAGGGGTGAAAGGGGCAGTTCGGGGAGATAGGGTTCAGATAACCGAGTTTACGGGGTCTAGACACACACGGCGAAGAGAGATATGCTGGGGGATGACGGCGAAAAGTGGTACGGGATGCTGTATTCGCAATAAAGGATGCGCAATGAAGGGTTTCGCACCGTAGGCGGTTAAATTGCACTTTGTGGTACAAGGGAAAGTGCACGACTACTTAACATTCTGAAATACTCGCCGTTCCGCCCGCTTGTATCGCAATGCATTTTAATTGCGCTTACTTTCACGATCGAGAACAGAGGAATTTAGCATTACGAATAACGAGTAGGTATAGCAGATGGATGAATCGTTCAGGGACTTACAAAAGAATATAAAAGAATTTGTCGTTTAAAATTCTTTCCCTCTTCTTTATAGAAGTTTTATCAATAGCATTATATAAAAAAGGTAGTTATTGTCATTTTAATACATTTTCTGTCCATCTTTTTTCCTTTTTTTTTTACGATCGACGACATAGAGAAGAATATGAGTAAATATTTGGAACGCAAGAGAAAATGACGTTCTTAAAATATTTTTTCTCTGATAAAAGTTTTACGTAACAGGGTTAATAAAATTGTGAAAAGATTGCCCTTTCTTACATTCTCGTATTTCCGTCTTTTCTCTTTCTTTTATTTTCCGCGTCGCCGGATCTGAATGGCAGAAATGCGGACGAGGCAATTTTGATGCGTCCGCGTCGCGACGACTAATTGCGTTTCTTTGGATCTGTAGCTTTTTGCCGACACGCTCTTGATATCGACGAGAAGAAGTTGCGAGGGGGGGACGAATCGATTTCCGCGGGACAGTGATTTTTTGTCATTAACTATCGGTATGGCATTTGCAGTACGGCGTATGATGAATTGCGGTCGACGGATGATGGATGCGGCGATTGCCGTTCTTTTTTTTCGCGATGCCACTGCCTCCTTGCCTCTCTTTCTCGTGTATTTCATCAAGAAATTCGGGCAACGGAGATCTTTAATTATCTTTCAAACGGGTGAATAATTGGGGAAGAAGACCGCGAAGGAAGCAAGCGAGCCGCTACGTAAGATGAATAATCGCAAGAGATCGTGAGATTTGCAAAGTGAAACTCGAGATTTTGCGAAATTCTCATTTTGCGAGAAAAGTGATTTTCTCCAGGACCAGTGTTTCTCATTTTATTA